TTTCGTTCGGAACGCATCGTAGATGAGATCGGCAGGGCAACGCATCACTATATTGGCAATACAACCCCACGTTTCCATCTACACGCGCGCGTCGGTAAATGCAGGCCATCAATTTCACTTTGTATCCAGAAGAGAGATTTCGGGCTTCTGCCGTCTCGTTATTCCGTCGCTCGCTACTCTCCGCCATTGAAGAGGCAAAAAAGGAAAACGGACAGATTCACCCTTTGCCCTCTGAAACTCTTCAGCTTGTCCCGGAGGTACTCCTGCGAAATCGCCGGCGCCTTCGTCGTTTTTGCGCGCTCTTAAAGAGCAAGACGATATTTCAGAAGAAGTGCACACAAGAGGGATAATTGCGACACATCAGCCGCTCTTTCAAGTAAAATCACAAAGCGCTCGTGACGCGTCACGCATTTCAATTTCCCGGCCGATTCAAAAGAAAATTTTGCTTTTAGAAAAATGTTGCGAATATTTTCCGAAGTCTATTCCCGAGTCAAAATTTTTAGCCTAGATTAAACCTACAAGTTTTGTCGAATTTGGAGAACCAATGTAAGCTTTAATTCATATATATAGATATAACATTACATTGGCTATTGCCCTCCTTTGATACTAAAAATTGTTACTTATTGCCGTTTTTTCCATGTGGAAGCTCAAAAGAGTATCTACTGAGAACCTCTAAAAAGGCTCCAGGTTCTATAAATATGTATTTCTAGAAAATAAATATTCAAAATTACTTAATAATCTATTATCTCATATACTCTACTTGCATTTAATGTATCTTGATTTCAATAAACAATATATTAATTATTATAATTTGCTTAACTGTAAATAGGCTACTATAAGCAAATATTATATAAATAATATTCACTTATCTCTTACATATCTATCTGCAGTTAAGTAAATTACAATAATTAATGTATTGCGCTTATTGAAATTAAGATATGCATTAAATATAAATAAAGTAAATGTGGTAATAGAATATTAAATAATTTTGAATTATAGGTCAGATATGTAATAAAATATTAAATAAAATTTTGAATTTTAATTGTTTTTTGTTTATTCGAATAAATTTTTAGTTATTTATAATACTAAATATAATACTGAGTTGCACTTAATTTTTAAAAATATTTTTTACTATTCATTTGTTATTATTTATTTTATATTATAACCAGGGTCGGACTGGAACACCAGGGCCCATCGAGAAAATTTGTAAAAAGGGCCCCCACTCTAAAGCGCCGCGGCAAAAAATTTTTTTAGTTCAAGGTCAAACGTGTTTTAATGAAATTTGGAGATATTTTGTCCTTTAATTTGTTTGTTGTTGTTTTTATTGTAAATTTTTTTGTATTGTAGTAAAGGTAGCATACGTAAAATAAATAACCATGTATAGTGCATGTATTTTATTTAATAATAAAATAATATTTCTTTGGCTTTTAGTAAATATTCTTTTATAAATTGTCAGTTGCCATAACCTTTCAGACGAATTATAAAAAAAATGAAAGGAGAACACGAAAGACAGTGACGCACTACAGATAGTTGACTAACGCTAACTCGTGCTCAGCGCTATCTTGGTTAGAGAAGGAAAGCACGTCGTTATTCAACTGTCGCAATCTGATAATTTAGAATTTAGATTATTAATTTCTTGCATAAAAAATTTTTTAAAAAAATTTGGATTTGGGGGCCACTGGGGTCCTCAAAAACATAGGGCCCCCCAAGAAATTTCTCGGTATCTCTCCTGTCCAGTCCGCCTCTGATTATAACATTTATTATATTAATCTGATATAATAGAAATTGAACTCAATTATAGATTGAATATTAATATTTTTATTGCTAGAAATTTCGATAAGATTTGGAGATTCAAAAGAGGTAGGAGTTGTAAGAACGAAAGTAGGAATTGTATGTTTAACATTAATAAAAATAAGGGTTTTCTAGGACAACAAGATTAAAGAAAGGCCAAAAGAAGACATAACACTTTCAAGATAGAACTTGTAGGTCAAGGAACATTATTAGAGGCACAAATAACCATGTATGAGGTTTATAGTAGGTTTTAAATTTCGACTCGGGTTATCTCTAGACAAATTCAGCCCCGAGCGGCGGCGAGCAAATCGCTCGCAGTTCGGATCGAAAAGTTTTTTTCACGTCCCGCAAATAATGAGAATTACGATCACGTCTGCGGGCGACTGATTTCGAAATAAAATTCGTTCTATAGAACCGGGAGATTATAATAATTCACCGGGCACCGTTACGCAGTCCGCCCACGAATCGTTCCGCGTTCCTATCCCCGCCGCATCTCGCCGAATGCGTCCGAAAGGAGCAGACAGAGGCAATAATCCGGCCATAAGTCTGATCCCACTGTGCAGATAAGATTATTGCGCGACTATTATCCGAACTGAAAAGCATCCGAGGCGCGGAGGAATTTGAAGTGGAGACGCACGGCGTGTATTGATTTTCGACTTGGACACTTCGCTTAAGCGAACGAATTCATAATCGCAATTCTAAATCGCAATGTGTTGTGGCAGAAATTTGTCGTGCGAACGGAAACAGGGAAGTTTTGCAGGTATTTTTGTTTACTAAAACAAGCAGCATGCGACCAAAGTTGCGACACTGTAATTACCTAATTTTCTAAAATGTTAGGATAGCTCTTACGCGGTCGCATGACGTTTCATTATCCCAAATTGGTGCGGTTAATGGACACGCTAACGTCATTGAAGTAACGAAGTGTAACTCGTTTGAAAGGTTAGCGTGCGTTAATATTCATACAGAAACATAATTATTCTCATAGATGGCACGCCGCAAATTTAAAAAGCTCTAAATCAGTGCGTGTTTAAATCCAACCCAACTTAATATTTAAATTTTATCAAATTCTCACGCCGCGTTTCCAAATCGATCCCAACGCGGTCGGATTTGCATTAAAGCATTCTCTCTGTGCGAATTTCACGGTCGTCGAAAGGTTTAATGGTGATTTGTTCACCGGCTAAACGCACGGCCGCTCGCAGCCGGGATTAATAACTCGTATTTTCTCACCGCGACCTATTTATCGCAATTATTCTCGTGTCCATGCTTTAATTCATAAGCAGCTGCGCGTAGTGCACCGGTATGTACGTCATCAGATGCATTATGCATCGTATGGACGCGACGGCGCCACGCGGCCAACGTGTATACGCGTGCGGTCACGTGCCGAAGTGCGCGAGTAGGATTTCAGTAAATCCACCGCGGATGGAACTGATTTCACGTAGAGCGGCGGTAGGGCGTCGTGGATAAAAGCGCGGCAAAGAGAGAGGAGAGAGAGAGAGAGAGAGAGAGAGAGAGAGAAATTGCTCACACTTGTAACGCCGGCCTCGCACGCGACGAATCTTTTCAGACGGCGGTCCCTTTCGTCGAACACACACGCCCGTGTGTTTCCATTTTCTTGCGATTTCGCTAAACTCCCGCGTACCGTAATGGGAATTTATTTCCAGCTACGTGATAGCTCGCCTGCGGAATACGAAAATGAAGGTGATCGTAAAGTAACAAGCTTGCGCCATGAACCGAGACGAGCGTGCTCGTACATACGGAATTTTTAAGCCTCTCCTCCATCGGAAAACGTAATTATTATTTTATGAATCTTATCTCACACCTTCCGCGCCTTAACGTCGACGTTTTTCGGCTCTCTCTCTCTCTTTCTCTCTCTCTCTCTCTCTCTCTCTCTTTTCTCTTTACTCGCTCGCTCTCACGAGAGTCAATTATGATATCGTCAGCGGGAACAAAATTCGCAAACTCATGGAGCGAAATTAATATTTCATCCCACGTCATCGCCATCATCCCGCGGGATTTTATGGGAGTCTCGATAAGCGCCGATTGTTATCGGCAGTCGCATGACGCGCATTTAATTTTTAATGCAATTGGAAGTGTCGAATCGAATAACTCTCATTTTCATCTCTCTCTTTCTCTCCCTCTCTCTCTCTCCCCCTCTCTCTTTCCCTCTGATTCTCTTTCATACCTCCTAACACGAGCACATTTTTTTCGTCATTCCCTCGACGAGAACGCGACGGCGGAACGTTAATAGAAATTTGTAATTTTCAGCACGAGTCATAGAACGGCCATTTCGATGGACGGCTTTTTCCCAATTGCGCACGGCGGTGCAATTAACGTCGGCGCGCGGCAAACGAGATTTATCGGCCCTTCTGACATAATTGCTTTCAAGATGCGACCAAATGACAATTTTTTTCGCGCGATTATGTCGCGACTTATGAACTTACAAGGACAGTTCAATTTCCCGAGTCTTTTCGAGATAAATAATCTCGCCACAAAGAATCACAATCCCGACGTTTTTAAATTTAATCCTTTTTTTTTTACAGTTCGTATCTTTTTCACCTTTCTCTTGTCACCATTTTTCTCCATTTTTGTCCATCTTCGCGTTTTAATTGCGACGTTTTCACCAAACGCGAGAATTAGAGCTCGCTTTTCTTTTAAGCGCTGTGTGTTTTTAATCATCGGGCCGTTTAAGGACGATCGTGTCGCATGCCGACACGGGATCTTTTGCTCACACGAGTCGAGTATCTTTCCGAGTCGCCCGCTCTCTCGACCGCGTGTGGGAGATGAGATGGATATTGGGTGCTGGCGTGTCGGGGCGAAGGGGAGCTGGTCTAGCTGGGCTGTCTGTTTCGCTCGTAGATTCATGTGTGCGGAACCGTGGGTGATATATCGCGGTAGCGTCGCGCCGCGCTTATTGTAGCAGCTACTTGCGCACGCTCGTGGAACAACACTGAAAAAGAAGACGCGCGCGTGAGCGTCTCGCGTTTATCACTATCGCAGCTATCCTCAGACACGTCGGCGGAATCGAAACCCGGGATACACGGGTAAAATTGATAAATATAGACACCGAGAATTGTGGAATCGATAAAACTGATAAAGATAGATTTCGCCGGCTGGGGACGTTTTCCCTCGCAATCGATGACGACAGGTCGGAAGGATAGCTAAGTCGCCGCGGATATTGAATTTACTCTGTCGTTCCTTTCTTCTCGCAGGAATTGAACAGCCGGCACTTAGACCCCGTGGAAGTGTTTCGCGGCATACCGTACGCTGCGCCGCCGGTGGGCGATTTAAGGTTTCGTCCCCCGATCTCGCCGATACCTTGGAGCGGCGTCCGGCTGGCGGACACCTTCGGCGCGGTGTGCCCGCAAAATTATCCGGATCTCACCAATGACACCGCTGCGCTCACGCAGATGCCGCTCGGCAGGTATCAGCAGCTCAAGAAGATGACCGTCTTCCTGGCCAATCAGAGCGAGGACTGCCTCTTTCTCAACTTGTACATACCCGGAAGTGGTAAGCGAGCAAATATTCATTCCTTTATTATCCGATCACGTTGGCTAAGCTGAATTGCTGAAAACTTTTTAAACGTTTTAAGCTTGATCGATTCGCTTTCTCGTAACACTTTTTTCTCGGCGTTTTAAAACTGAATTTCGGTATAATATCTTAAAAACGTAAATTTTTTTTTTCACGAAAAGGGGGCAAGGTCACGCGATAAAGAACGTTTTAAAAGGGACTGTGCAAAATTGCGTTTCTATTGTCACCTAAAGTACCCCGTCAGTAACGTAAAGTTCCCCAGTTCTGACAGAGTAAAAGGGATAATAAGTTTTAATGAAGGTCTTTATTCCTGGGGAAGATAGTAAAGCTACTCCACATTCAGTTAATGAAAGTTCAACCTTTGCTACCTGCATAAATAATGTGTTCTTCGACTCTTCTTTCAAACGGCGTATTTTGCAAAAACTGACAGCGTAATTATCAATTCGCGATTGATCCTTATTTCTCGGAGAAAAATACACGTGCGAGTGCACGTATCGCTTTGGATAAAAACTTTTAACAAATTCAGTTACGAAATTTTAATTACGTTTAACGTTCGGGCGCGAGGCAGAATTCAAACTGATTTTCCGCTCAAAATTACACATCGTTATAGCGGCCGCGCGATCGGGCGAGATTAATCGCGCACGGCGGCAAAAATTACACGGCGGAAAGTAACGCATTACATCGTGGGGGCTGTTGTAAAGTTTCGGAGCGGGCGCGGCGGCGGTAATTCGGCCCCCGAAATTCTCAACTGCATTATCTATCGGAGCCGACAATTTATGCGTCCGTATAGTATTACACGGCGCAACTTGCTTCCTAAAGTAATTAGTCCTAAAGTAATTAGTACCTTTATACCGGGTAGTATCAGCCCGGGAGCAGCCGCATGCGTCGCACGTTGCTCGGTGCGCGATGAAAGATAAAGGCGAATTTGCAACGTAAAGCGGTAGTGTGCGCCGTAACCTCGGTCGTGTTAAAAAAAAAAAAAAAAAAAACAAGAGAACTAAAAATTACGCGAGCCGCGCGAACAATGCGAAAGCAGGGCAGAAAGGAGAGAGAGAGAGAGAAAGAGAAGTCGTAAGATGTTGCGAAAAAAGGATGACGCTCAATCGAATTTTTGTTACAAAGGAAACGACTGCAAGGCAATCAAATCGAAGAATCTCCGCGTTGCAAAGAACTTGAATTCTCATTGTTGGAAGCGGCATCGACGCGTGCATCGCGCATTCCTTTGGCGATTTGCGGATTTTGCGTTGATTAAAGCACGATTAACGATTGCCGTAAGGACTGCTTAGTATACGAGCGCGCGGAGCGCGCGCACACGGTGATATTACGACGTACGGCTATCGACCGTTGGAGAGACGGTGCTCGCAGCGTCGAGTGCGCTTGTCGGAATGATCGATACTAATTGGGTGAGTTTTACGAGTTAGCGGATAATCAAAGTAAGATCACGCGGCGCGATTGAATCGCTAACGCTAACTACGATGATTGCGTGCACACGTAACTCGGCAGCGCAAAGCCGCTTTTCGCAGTGGTTTAGGATGCTATCCAGTCAAATAGGGGTAATCCGATCCGTGCAGTATAAATCGTGCAGGCAGACGTTAATTAGTTGCGATTTGATAGGTAAACATGTGTATACGCTAGGTTATCAATTACTAATTGCTCAGATGATTAAAAATTAAACGAGACTTTTGATCTTAAAATCGTCGACATAAATGTCCCGCGCGTTAAGACTGTTTGGAGAGATGTGCTAAATCCGAAAGGCTTCGCGAAACACGTAAAATCCTGAGACTCGAGACGCCTCTATAAAAAGCGCTGTAATAATAATCCCGCAACCTTATTAAAAACAAGTCTTTCGCATTAATTCGCCTTTATCCCGGCTTACGCGACGCTCTCGACGCGTAAAATTTTACATCTACCGTAAAAGGCGAGTGTTGAAAAAAAAGAGAAGCGTCGTTCGTTTTATCGGACCGAGCGATTTCCAAACGTACCGCGCGTTTACGACGGTCGCATAATGCACGTGGATTACATGAGATACGTCGCGCACGAATCGCGCAAGATTCAGAATCCGCGCTCTTCTTCGTTAAACAAAAAAAAAAAGAAAAAAAACTTTTGCTATGACTTTGCGCGTAAATGAATTCACGGCAGAAACGGAACGGTCGATCGATGCAAATCCACGGTCGAATGAAGTTACTTGATAAAAGCGCACCGTCGCATCCGTCTTCTTCGCGAGCAAATGAGCGCCTTTGACACGCCGTGCGGTTTTCCGCCCGAAGCTGCTCTACGTGCTGCGAATCGTGATGCGACGGATGTGCATCCGCGCGACTATTTCGCAATGTTTCGGCGCTGTGATAAGCTCTCAGAGCTCTCGGATCCTTAGCGCGGGTTACAAGATGCAATTAGTCATCTTAATTGCACACGCAGCAAGGACAACTAATTGGCTGTTTTATTTCGCATTAATAGGGTCTGCAAAAAAAAAAAACAATAATAATCCGAAACGCGAAAACGATTAAAACGTGAAAATTGTCACAAAGAAAAGGTTTTGTAAGCGTATGCAAAGGTAACGTCTGTTCAAAATAAAAGATAGAGACTCGCGCAATCCCGTTGCTTTACGTTTTGCGGCTTTCCGTCTCTTGTGGGGATAAAGCGCGAAAGCATAATGCCACGTAAGCGATAATGTCGCGCGGTATTACGAGAAAGCTGGATCTGTCAATGGGAGGTTTATACGGATAAGAGGTTTATTCGCGGAAGAAAATGGAGAAGCGGAGGTGTCATACTACTGCTACACCGCCGCCGCTGCCGCTGCTTTCAGGATCCCGAGGGCTGGAAGCGCCGTACGCGGTGATGGTGTACGTGCACGGTGAAAGTTTCGAATGGGGATCGGGTAACTTGTACGATGGATCGGTGTTGGCGAGCGCCGGCCACGTCATAGTGATCACTCTCAACTATCGTCTCGGTATCTTAGGTACGTACCACCCTTTAATCAACTACCCCGTATACCGGGAAGCATTTTCATTAAGCGAGCATCCTTGAGTAACGTTCCACAATCACGAGCAAAGAAATTCCAAGTGGCGTTCGCCTTGTTTTCGAAATATTCCAACTTACAATTGAATTTTTTAGAGTTTATGATTTTGTTTTTTTTCTTGTTTTTATAAATTCTTTATTCTCCGCAGCATTTCTCCAGCAGTTTCGTGAATAATTCGTGAAAGTTTGGCGAAATATTTTTAGCGTGTAGATATTTTTCCAAAAATATTTTGCTTTGATCTGTTTGCGTGATTTGTGAAAAGAGCTGCGCCCACTTCTCTGTGAGATGGAAAAAATATCTCCGCGTGAAAATGTCTTTTAGCGGTGAATTTGTGTCATTAACTGCTAGATATATTCACCGTAATATGGAGAGAGTCTGTGGAAGCCATTTACATGCTCAAGTCAATATTGGCATTTCGGAAACCTACGAGTGCATCTCTCTGTTGGTGCGCCACGAATATACCAAAGTCCGAAAATGTCAATTCTCTCTATTTACTTGTCAAACTTAGATTATGACTTAATAGTGTAACGAACGTTTATATGTTCCGCTTAATCGTCGTTGTTATTCAAAAGACATCTTGAAACGTTGAATCATTACGCTTTGTATGAAAATAACTTATTTTTCACGAATTTCTGAATTATCGCGAAACTCGTTTTATCGTGAAAATCGATGAAATTTTCTGACCAAATTTGCGAGCGAGATTTAATCGAATAAACACTGCCACACTAAAATGCTGCGGGAGACCGAAGAAAATGTGATAAAATAGGAGAGGATATCATTCGTCGACGATCCGCGACGACGTTGAATCGCGAAACGATTTGGCGTTCTTCCAGGATTCCTGAGGACTCGTCCGTTCGCCGACCGAACGAGCGGATCGGGCGGCAATTTGGCCTTAAAGGACATCACGATGGGACTACGTTGGGTGCGCGAAAACATTGGCGCCTTCGGCGGCGATCCAACGCGGATAACTCTAATGGGCCATGATACTGGCGCGGCGCTGGTGAATTTGCTGCTGCTCGCGCCTTACAGCAAAGGTAAGAATGTCAAACACGATTGGTAATCTTTCGAGTGTCTAAACGAGCGTGTCCGTTGCATACGAAATGCCGAAATACCGAAAGTTCTCACGGAGCGCTTTTATGAAGTAAGGTTTTCGAATGGTAGAAGAAGAAAGGGAGAAGAAATCCTTATTCTCGAGACGAGATCGACCTCCCATTTTATATAGTCACATACAAAACGTTTGTCTTTCGCGCCTCGTTCAGTTCCGATCGATTGATGCATGCCCTTACGAAGGTATATCGCGCCCATTCCTTTCAGCCGCGCGTTATCGAGCCCCCGGCTCGTTGACAGCTTAATGCCGCCATTGTGCCAGGCTTAACAGTTTATCGGTCATTCTCGCCGCGGTGGACTGTCGTAATATAAAATAAATCAATTCAATCGCGATATATACACCGGGTGTGGAGGGCAGCGGAAATATTTGCTTGTCGAGTCACTTGATCCAATATTTACGCAGCACCGTTAACGTATTAATAACGCTGTTGTGTTTACGACGAGGGAACACAATGAAAAATGATTTGCCGGTATATCGAGAACATTTATATATATATATATATATATATATATATATATATATATATATGT